GGTACTAGGTCCCCTGAGCCTTTGAGGAGAAGACACTGTGCAGGAATAGCTGTGGAGCAGATATAGAAACATGGATATCTATGAAAGGCTTGCACAGGGGATGCAGGCAAATAGGTAAGACAGGGATCAGCAGCAGTATTGTGTGAAAGCAAAGGAACTGCAGCAAGCATACCACTGGGTCAGGGAGGCCAACAGTTGATCTGGTGGTGAGCCACAGACATGCTGCTCTGAGGATAAGCTCCATATTATACTTGGTGGAGATTCTGTCCCAGCCGCACCCTTCTCGCTATCCTGGATACCGTGGAGGAGCTCGAGTCACAGACCCCTGCTGTGAACCTCAAGGAGGACGGACAAGCTGCACAGGGTCCAGATATGCTGTGAGTTGGAACACGTTCAAGACTCTGCCATTGTCTGGCCTGTCTTGTTAATCAAGTCAGGATGAACACGATTCAGGGGAAAGAACCTTGGGCATAAATAATAGCTTCAGTGAGAGATAGTGGAATGGTTGTACATGTACAGCAAATCTCAAATCCATAGCTTCACTGTATTACAATTTCTAAATGCACACCAAAAACAGGACTGTGCAGCACTTTAAAGACTAACAAGATGGTTTATTAGGTGATGAGCTTTCGTGGGCCAGACCCACTTCCTCAGATCAATATGTGGAAGAAAACAGTCACAACCATGTACAATTTTCTTCCACTATTTGATCTGAGGAAGTGGGTCTGGCCCACGAAAGCTCATCACCTAATAAACCATCTTGTTAGTCTTTAAAGTGCTACATTGTCCTGCATTTTGTTTCAGCTGCACCAGACTAACAGAGCTACATTTCTATCACTAAATGCACACCAAGCACTCTACACTCCTACCAGCCTACCAGCTTTCAGGCAGAAGTGCACCAAAGCACAGCCAAGCACAATACATTAATGTGGCTGACCCTTAAAGTGCTCTTTCAAAGCCTTCCACAACTACGTCGTTCCTCATCGGACTCTTGTCATTGCCTTTGTGTCTGACTGAATTTAGCGAACCGTCTCTCTGCCTCTGCCTCCGTCATTCTGCCTAGTGGCAAATTTTCCTCTGTTACCTCCTCTATATTACATAATAGGCAGCTGGCCACTGGGATATTTTTCTCACTGAGTTCCAATCTTGAGGTAAACACCTCCAGCTTCTCTTCAAACTACCAAAAGCACATTCAATTGTCATTCTGCAGCAGCTGAGCCAGTAGCTGAATCTTTCCTTAGTGATGACCAGGTGACTAGCTTCCTCAGGACAGGTCTCCCAGGATCGCAACTGGCATTTCTACATTGTCAATGATAATCTGCTGGTCAGCAAAATAGGCTTCCAGCTTTCTGACCAGCCCTATGTTGTTAAAGATGTGAGCATCATGCACCTTCCCTGACCATCCCTCACTGATACTGGTGAAGTAATCCTAGTGATCCACAAATGCTTGCATGGCCGTAGAAAAACAGCTTTTGTGGCAAAGTGGGCTAGCACCTGTGTTATTTATCACCTCTCTCACCTGAGGAACCTCCTAGCTGCAAATCTACCCACTAAATCCAGCACTTTGCTGAAAGTCACAGTTTTGCAAAACAGAACAAGAGTAATGGCCCTAGACACGTACAGGATAATGGCCAATGCTGGATTTTCCAAATCCAGAATAATTTCCTACTGACCTATAACAATCCACCAAGCTTCCAGAATGTGATTGCCACTCACTTCTCAAATAACAATGTAGCTATCATTCTCCTGTGTGTGCTCTGGAGGGCTGGGGTAAGCTTGGCACACAGACCCAGGAATGTGGCCTTTCACATTCACAAATTCTGCAGCCACAACTGCTTGTCCCAAACCTGCCGTACGATGCAGTCCCACTAGGCAGTACCTGTTTCCCAGCCCGGAGGTGGTACCCCGCCATTTGACTCTGCTCTGTGAATACCCGCACTAAGCATCTCTCAGCAATCTGTCCTCAAAGAAATCATCATGTCTTCCACTATTACGGTTCTTCCTGTGGCTAAGAACATAACAGCCATGAGGGGTCAGACCAAAGGTCCATCCAGCGCAGTATCCTGTCTGCCGACAGTGGCCAATACCAGATGCCCAGAGGAAATGAACAGAACAGGTAGCCATCAAGTGACCCATCCCTTGTCACCTAGCTTCTGACAAACACAGGCTAGGGACACCATTCCTGCCTATCCTGGCTAATAGCCATGATGGACCTATCCACCATTAATTTATCTAGCTCTTTTTTGAACCCTGTTATTGTCTTAGACTTCACAACATACTCTGGCAAGGAGTTCCACAGGTTGACTGTTTAGTGTGTGAAGAAATACTTCCTTTTTTTTAAACCTGCTACTATTAATTTCATTGGATGATCCCTTGTTCTTGTGTTATAGGAACAAGTAAATAATTTTTCATTGTTTACGTTCTCCACACCAGTCATGATTTTATAGACCTCTATCATATCCCCGCTAAGGTATCTCTTTCAAGCTAAAAAGTCTCAGCCTCATTAACCTCTCCTCACAGGGCAGTCGTTCCATACCCCTAATAATTTTTGTTGCCCTTTTCGGAACTTTTTTCAATGCCAAGATGTCTTTTTTGAGATGTGGCGACCACATCTGCATGCAGTATTCAAGATGTGGGTGTTCCATGGATTTATATACAGAGGCATAAGATATTCTCTGTCTTATTCTATCCCTTTTTTGATTTCTAACATTGTTTTCTTTTTTGACTGCTGCTGCGCATTGAATCGACCCTGCACCCCTAGTTCCAGCACCTATACCTGAATGCACTGTGTTGTTTTGTGGCATATGGTACACTGGGATAGCTATTCACCACGCAGCACTCTTTGCCTTGACACACTCATTCCTGGTGACCACGTGAAGCGCTGACGCAGTCAAGTATGCACACCTATATATTCACGGTGTCAGTGTAAACCAACAGCGCTTATGTCAACCACAGTTTGTTGTGTAGACATGACATCACTGATTTTCCATCTGTATGGGCTCATCTAGGCTACGCTACAGTGTCGAAAGAGGATATGCAAATTCTGCAGGAATTTGCATATCTTCTTCCAATCTCACTTTTGAAAGTGGAGCTTTTGCAAGTGAAAGTAGTTTAGATGCGGCTTTTTCGGCAACCCCCCGCCCCCTTGTCAAAAAGCTGCTCTTTCTGAAAAAAAGGAGGTTTACGTGACTTTTCAACAAAGGGGGTGGTTCACTGAAAAAGCCGCATCTAAACTACTTTCACTTGCAAAAGCTCCACTTTCAAAAGTGAGATTGGAAGAAGATATGCAAATTCCCACAGAATTTGCATAGCCTCTTTCTACACTCTAGCATAGTCTAGATGAGCCCTAGGACAGACATGACAGCATTAGCAGGGAGAATGCAAAACAATTACTGCCTCGGCCCTAAGCTGGACAGATCAACTCTGTGGGTGATCTGAGTGGGGCCAAGCACCTGCAGTTCTCACTGACTTCTGTGGGAACTGTGAAAATCAGGCCATTGACTTTATATAATTTTAGGCAATTAAGTTTGAAAAGATGCTATAAAGCCTATAAAGATGCTGAAAATATCTTAACACAGAAAAGATGAAATTACCTCCGGATCTCTCTGCTTACTTCTTCGTGTGCTATTTATGGAATCATTAAACTATTTGAAAAACTCGTAAGCAGATTTCTTCTGAAGTTGTTATTAAAAGCTCCTGGTTAGTTAGCTTAGTGACCTTCAGAGCCTCAAAAGCCCTTTAAGGTATTTAATTTTGACAGGCCTGTGTATGGAATTTAGAGCAAATCAAGCTTGAAAGTAAAAGCTGATCCAAGTGAAATAAACTTGTAAATGCATTTCATTGATATTGTTTACTTGTAGCTATTTTCGGAATCAGCAAGAAATGACTCCTTGTCAAAGACAATTCATCTGGCCACTGTAGAATTTCTCAAGGAAAATCCAGCATTTTGATATAAGAAGATGAATATGCATTTCTTTAAGCAAAATGTAAACTTTAGATCAAATTTAACACAAATTTATTTGTCAATTGTATTTTATGTAAAGATGGATTCAAAATTCAGACTTCAGTTTCAAATGACCTAAAGTTTATCCATTATAATATTATTATAATTACTGTAGCACTTAAGGTCCCTAGTGATAGGCCAGAACCACACTGTGCTGGGTGCTGTACAAACACAGAACAAAAAGATGCTATACAGTGAGGCTGTGTCTGCATTGGCCCCTATTCCGTAATAGGAATGCAAATGTAGCACTTTGGAATAGGCAAATCCGCGGGGGATTTAAATATCCCCCGCGGCATTTGCATTAACATGGCTGCTGCTTTTTTCCGGCTTGTAGATAAGCCGGAGAAAAGCGCCAGTCTGGACGCGATCCTCCGGAAAATAAGCTCTTTTCCGGAGGATCTCTTATTCCTACTTGAAGATCTCTTGAAAATAGGAATAAGAGATCCTCCGGAAAAGAGCTTATTTTCCGGAGGATCGCGTCCAGACTGGCGCTTTTCTCCGGCTTATCTACAAGCCGGAAAAAAGCAGCAGCCATGTTAATGCAAATGCCGCGGGGGATATTTAAACCCCCCGCGGATTTGCCTATTCCAAAGTGCTACATTTGCATCCCTATTACGGAATAGGGGCCAATGCAGACACAGCCTGAAAGCTTTGTTATCCATCACTCTGTTAACCAGAAAACTTTGTTAACTGGCTGTGACGGGGCAAAGGCGCCCCACACTCCAGTCCCGCCGGTGGCCGCTCTTCTGGTGGCTCTCGGAGCAGGGGGCAGAGTAGCGACGCGGGGCGCGCTGCAGTCCGTGGGCCGAGCGGGGCCGGAGCCGGCCTACCGGCGGTGCACCAGTTGTTCACAGGCGGCCGCCCCGGCAGGATGCCCAGGTACGGCTGGGAGTCCGGACACCGGCGCGAGGCGCCAACGCGGCGCCCTATAGACGCATTTACAGTGGCATTGCCTCCAGCCTCAATTCTACCACGTCTTCAGGTGCACTTGCCTGGCTCTTGCTTCTCTAGGACGCCGTTCCAGGGTGATGTCATTAGCAAAGCACCTTCTTCGCCTTCAGCCTTTCTTGAGCTGCCTGAAGCCAGATTTGCCAGTAGGGTACAAAGGTAGAGAAATTTAAATTAACCAGCTACTAGTGTTGGGATAATAGTTTAGTATATGAAGAACTGGTGTGGGGTTTTCAAATTTTGTTATTAATATGGGTTTTTTTAAATGTGCTAATCAAATTCTCTAAGCAAATGTGCTTTTTTGTTTAAATTTCATACCAAGAGCTGAGAGAATAATGCAAAACTATTCATGAATATTCACTCAGTATTTAAATGAGTGTCCCTCAGCTATGATTGCATGGTCTTTTGTGTTCATCTTTCATGAATATTTTGAAAGACTGAGTTTTATTGGCACAGATGTCTGCATAAACTTAACAGATTTCAGCGGTTAAAAAATATCAACAATTTAACAATCCCATACCTTCCTCAGTTTAGCTCAGTTGTGTTTTGCATAAGCCGCATGGCTCTTCAGAAAAGGTGCCTTTTCCAATAAGTCCTCAGTCTATGTCTTTTCCATCAATACTTTGTCTCATATTATGAAGTAGTACAGACTGTAAAGACGTGTCAGCAAGGGTAGGTATTCCAACTGTTGTTTGCACAAATATCCACCAAAATGCATAGGAAGGAGCAATCTCCCCTGCAATTAGGGTCAGATTTTTAAAAAATGACATCAATGAGGGTTACAAGTTAGACACTTTTTGTAAATCCCACTAGGCACCTATCTGCATATAAATACCCTTAAACATCTGTCCCTAAAGTGATTTAAAAAAATCTAACTCTTGTTTAAGTCAGTAAGGGCATGTCTATACTTACCAGAAGATCAATGCTCTGAAGGTCAATCTTCTGGCATTTGATTTAACGTGTCTAGTATGGACCCGTATATAGAATGCTGAGGGCAGCTCCTACTGGGTCTGGTATGCCTCCTTTTGTGAGGAGTAAGGGAAGCTGAAGTGAGTGCTTGCTCCTGTCAGCCCCTTGTTATATGGACACTGCCAAGGCTCAGCTTATGGTAAGCCAACTCCAGCTACTCATTTTATGTAGCTGGAGATGCATACTGATCTTCCTGGCCTGTATAGCCCAGGCCTAAGACTTAGAATCCTAATAGTGAACTTACATTTGAACATGGAATTTAAGTATCTTAATCTCTTAGGGTACATCTACACTTCAGAGAAGATTGAAGCTGCTGTTGTCAATCTTCCAGGGTTTGAATTTGCGTGTCTAGTGAAGACACACTAATTAGAACTAAGAGGGGCACCTCAGTCAATGCCGCTAATCCTGCTTCCACGAGGAGTAAGGGAAGTTGAAGGGAGAATGTTCTCCCTTCAATTTCCTGCAGTATGGACAGCATCATAAGTTGAGTAGCCAAAGTTGCATATCTTAATTCGACCTTATCCAGTAGTGTAGACATACCCGAAGGTTCAGCTTCTCCTTTAGAATAATCCATCTAAATATCTCTGATGATCTGGACCTGAAGCACTTTTGAAAATTTTAACTTTAGGTCCAAAATTTAGGTTTTGTATTTTTTTTAAAAAAGCAGTTTGTAAAATCTAGAGCAAATAGAAATTTTTATAACATTTTAAATATCAGCTAAAACAGCTGTTTAAATGTAAACATTCACCAAAATGAAAACAAATAGCAGCATCAGTCTAGTATATGAAAACCAGAAAATAAAACTGCCTGGAGACCCTGGTAAAATTAACATTTCTATTTTTATTGCCTAGCTGAATGCAAAAAGTAAACTCCCAGCATAAAAGAAGTGAAAAGCAAAGAAGATTAAAAAAAAACCATTCTGTTAGTAATCTCTGATGTTATTTCTACAAGAGATAAGGGACAGTTTACATTTTTTTCATCATGTCTGTGTTCCTTTCAGACATTGTGGGTATGAAATCTGAGATAAGGGCACTTTTAATATGTTTTTATCATGTTTGTGCTCCTTTCAGACTGTATAGCTATGAAATTAAAGGGTGTTGTGATTTTATTGGTTTCTTTCAATTCTAATGATTAATGCACTCTAATTGTTGTTTTTTTATTTTGTACAATAGTCTATTATTATTGTATACATCATCCAAAATATATTCTAGAGGAAGGATGACCTTGTGCTAATGCACTGGTCGAGCACTGAGGAGATCTGAGTTCATTTCCAAGCTGCCCCACACCTTCTATGAGTTACTGAACAAGTCATTTAATTTCATTGTGTTGCAAAATGGGCATAATAATGCTTCCATAACTGCTGTGAGAACAAATTCGCTAAAATGTTTCTGAGGCATGTAGATTTTATTGTGATGTGAATCTGTATCATTGATATTCTTTTGAAACCCTTTTTATATCACTGATTCACAAACGTTTTCATACCGTAGGCAATTTAAGGACAGACCATTTCACGACGAGCTCCATTTCTGATCCTGAACCTACAACTTCCTTGCTGTAACCTGATTTGCAGCTTGATTACATGAAAGTGACATAAATAAGGAGAAAAAAGAGAAATTGTATAACTTGTATGCAATGGATGCACTGACTTAGCAATGCAACATCCTTTCCCCCATTTTGTACCTGGGCTATTGATCTCTGTTTTCTGGAGTTTTGGGGACATATACACCCTGGCTGCTCTGCTTTTCCACTGCTCTAATTTCTCTAGTTCATTTTGCAGAGTGGGTCTCTGTGTGTGCTACCCTTACAATTGTATTGCCCTCCGCACATGTAATCACAGTTAGATTTACACCAATGAACTACCAGCTGAAAAAAGATGTAAAGCAGTTATACTGGGTGCAAAGAAAGTGTTTTTTTTTAAGTTACTCAACAAAGCACTTAGAAATCCTGGGTTACAACTTCCAAAGTGGATTCCTTGAATGAGGGAGCACTCCTCACCAAAGGGAAACAGGTTTGTGAAACACACAGAAGTACAGTAGACTTCCAATAATCCAGAACCTATGGGACTTAGGTGATGCCGGATTATCAAATATGCCGGACTATCAGGAGGTACTGTAAACTGGTTATATATATATATACTGTATTCATTATATACTGTATATAAAGTGTTCCTAACCCTTTTTATTGTACATACTGTATACAGTATACTGTAATGTTTTAGTTTTTTTAAGGCTTTTTTACCCTTTTTGCTCAGTTCAGCTGCTGCTGCTGTTACCTTGTGACTCATTTTTTGCCGAAGCTCACTCACTAGGCTCTTGCTATTTTGATGCCGGACTATCAGGAGTGCCGGACTATTGGAGTTTTACTGTACTGCACTAGAAAATCATCCGCTTTTCTGGAAAAACTTGCCAGCTGTCTACATTGGCCGCTTGAATTTCCGCAAAAGCACTGACTTCCTACTGTAAGAAATCAGTGCTTCTTGCGGAAATACTATGCTGCTCCCGTTCGGGCAAAAGCTTTTGCGTAAAAGAGCCAGTGTAGACAGCTCAGATTTGTTTTCCACAAAAAAGCCTCGATCGTGAAAATGGCGATTGGGGCTTTTTTGCGGAAAAGCGCGTCTAGATTGGCACGGACGCTTTTCTGCAAAAAGTGCTTTTGCGGAAAAGCGTTTGTGCCAATCTAGACACTCTGTTCCGAAAATGCTTTTAAGGGAAAACTTTTCCGTTAAAAGCATATCCGGAAAATCATACCAGTCTAGACGCAGCCCAGGGGACCACAGACAATAGTTCTCAAACCACTGTTTCTGTCCACCCAATTTTATATAATATAGGAGTCATCTATATAATATGTCCCAGCTTTTAGTATTTACTGGTTAACTCATAGGGTTGCCAGATGGTTTCAACAAAAATACTGGACACACTTGACATTACATCACAATCTAATTACATCTCATTTAGAAAATACCGGACATTTATATTTTCTCATTTATATTTTCTCAATTTGTTTCCTGAACAGAAAGCTCAAATACTAGACTGTCTGGTTCAAAACCGGACACCTGGCAACCCTATTAATTAATTATACCTTAGGTCCCAATGCCACAGTGAGAATTGTGGTTGCACATTCCTGTGTTCAGCTGAAGACCTCTTCACTTTGGTTAGTGCACAAGAGAAATTTGTGGTTTTAATTCTGTATTCCTATCATATCAATACATTTCACGTGCAAGAAATTCCACAGGTGGTGTAAAACCTTCTCAAATTATTCAGGATGAACATCATAATACTGAAACTATACGACAGGATATTATCAGATAAAAATAAATGGTTTTGTACTTTCAAGTTTATCTACCTTTCTAGTGTAAATGTTACAGCTATTAAAATAGGTTGTTTATAGCTGTGCCTTTTCAAACTGTTACATAATACTGCTTTGGCCTTGTGCCTGTCAATGCAGATTATAGCTCACACTAATGAACCATTCATTGAATGAATGAGTGAATGAAAGTCTCACAAGAAAAGTGATTTCAAAAGACATATATTAACATAGGAATGAGTTTTTTTTCTCCCTTAAATCTACATAATGGAAGCTGATGAAAGCCTAGGAATTCCTTACACATTGACAGTAATTTACATTAAAATAGACTTACGTAAGTGGGCATATGAATTACACATTACAGCTAGTAGCATGTACACATTGGACATTTTTAATAGGCAAATCAGGTCTGGCAATCTTGAGTCTTTCATGTTTAACAGGATCTGGAACTGTTTTGTTCAATCATACTTCCTGACCACCTGTACTGCACAGGATACCATGCAAAATGATAGCTAATTACCCTTCCCTTCTGAATCTACTGAATTCTCCTGACTCCACATATTTTGGCACATCTTTACCTGTTTACCAAGTTCTTGTATGTCCGTCTCAGGAGTGTCAGACTTTAAAACTAATGTGCCTCCATAGATTAGTATTGTGTGTGGCCTAAAATTTCAAGTCTGAAATTATTTCTATGACTTGTTTTTTTAAATTCTAATAAAACATACATACAAAATACTGCATATTGTTCACAAATAATGGACTAAACACTATTGTCTTATTCACATAACTAATTGCACTATTTCCAAATTGCCTGACTAAAAATGGGACTATGAGTGCGAGTAAAGCAAACAGAATTTGGTAAGATATACAATATAGAGCAAAACATACAAAAAAGGCATGGTAGAGTAACGCTGAGTTCAGCTACTCAAGCATATGCTTATTATTAAGCACATGCTTAAGTACTTTGTTGGCTTGGGACCTAAGTCCCGGACACATTTCAACTACAAAACCCTCATGCTCTAGATGTGGGAGGTGGAAGGGATGAGATTATGGCAAAACTGACTGTTTTCCCTTATACTCCAAAATGACAGCCATTTTTAATCAAGCTTGAAAAATAATTATCCCTCATGAAAGGACTAAGCCTGAAAAACTTCAGCTCAAAAAGTAAAACTCTAACCGAGCTATAATCTACTGAAAGCAGGGAGTTATAATAAAAAGTGTCGGACAAATGGAATATAGTTGGGAGAGCTCAAGTTATACAGGCAGTCCCCGGGTTACGTACAAGATAGGGACTGTAGGTTTGTTCTTAAGTTGAATCTGTATGTAAGTCGGAACTGGCATCCAGATTCAGCCGCTGCTGAAACTGATGCCAGTTCTGACTTACATACAGATTCAACTTAAGAACCCCAGGCATCCCCAAGTCAGCTGCTGGTCAGTTTCAAGCAGCAGCTGACTTGGGGATGTCTGGGGCAGAGCAGCTGGGGTGCTGCTGGGTTGGTCCAGTAGCACTGCTCCTCGGCGCTACTGGACCAACCCAGCAGCACCCCAGCTGCTCTGCCCCAGGAGTCCTGACTCAGCCGCTGCTGGAAATCGCCAGC